TGTCTGGGTAGTAATTTACCGTGTTGTTGCTTCTTAATGCAGAAGCCTGACTTCATAAATCAAGAAGTTAATATAAAATACATAAGGGGTCAAGCCAGGTATCATCAATTAAAGCCAAATAACTTCTCTTCAATCTGAATCCGTAACTCTCCTGGGAGAAGATGTTCCTTTCCCACTCATTTGTGCTATAGATCTCCTCAAGCGCCTCTGTCTTCCAATGCACTCACCTCTGCACATCCTGCTCCCTTCCCTAAAATGGGAGCCAGAGGACACAGTCACCATTCTGCTGTTAAAAACACAAGGGAGAAGTCTATTTCTCCCTCCCCTGCCTGTGAACAGCCTGCGGTATAACAAGTATAAATTAAAGAAATAATAATGATGATCATCACCACAATAAGAATAACAAGAAGAAGACAAGAGAGACATGATCACTATTCATGAAATGTTTACTACACGCCAGGCACAATGGTGTTCCACATATATGGTTTCACTTAATTCTGATACAAGAAGACGACTACAACACACAGACACAACATTTAACGTTCTATGTCCGAGAGAACTGCAGGCCTAAAATGTGACAGGAACTGCTCCTGGCATCTATGGAGAGTTGGCATCTAGCATACAGAGGGTACTAAATACCTGTTGGGGGGATGAATAAATGGCAATGTTGCGGACTATGGCATGCAGATACATCGGCCTCACCCACAATCTTACATTTGCAAGTTTTATCATAAGAGTTAATGATTTATAGACTGCTTTCCACATGCCAGGCTCTCGGATAAGATGCAAACACTTTTCTTGTCCCCGTGTTACATCTCAGGAGGCAGACTTGGAGGAATTAAGGGACTTGCCCAAAGCCTTGGATCTAGAAGAGTTCTGACCCGGGATTCAAACCCAGGCAGGCCGGCTTCAGTGCCAGACGCTTCACTCCGAGGCCACACTGCCTCCCAGGGGGCCCGGTCCACCAGCGGCCCAGACGGACTCTTGAGACAGGACTGGACAGAACAGCCTCAGTTCCACACAGGCAGGACAGGTAAAGACCTACATCACCGTCCCAGGAGTTACCAGCTATATGCCCCACACTTGGGGAAGGGACAGATGTTTAATAACTTCGCAGTAGCAAGGAGGAGGTTACATAACATTGCTGAGCTATTTCTGAACTTTATGAAATGCTGACTGCTCTTTTCCAAGTGCCTTCTATAAAACCAGGAATATTAAACATAAAGAACATTTTCCCCTTGCCCCCACCTTTTTTTTCCCCCTGAAATCCCAGGGACAAAAACAGGCCCACGTCATCCTCAGCAAGTCAACTTTTCTACCAGGTCCCGCACTGTAAGCAAGAAGTCATGGTTACGGAATCCTAAGTGCACAAGGTCGGGGTAGGAGATTACAAGCCACGTCCCTGAAGACCACAGAGGGACGTGTGTAACTGCTTCCACGATGGCGCTCAACCAGTCCAAGCTGGACCCCCGATCCCCACAGCAACGTACCATGATACCCACCCACATGAATTCATCTGAGCTTCTTCTGAAACTATGTGCATTCTCCTTACTACATAGTGGGAATAATGAGAGCTGCTTGGCTACTGGATGCTTGGCAGAACCCTGAACTCGGGAGTCCTGGGCTTCCACTGAACAAGCTGATGGATCTGACTCAGGCTGCAGACACTGAAGATCCCCTACCATTGACAACCTAAATGTCCATCAGGGGGTCATGATCAAACACAGTTCCTAGTCCCATTGCCCAAGAACAGCAATGAAGATGAATATGCTAGAATGTCATGGGTCCTCAGAGATCCATCTTGAACCACAAGGCCGAGGTAAAGGAAATGTGAATGTATCGGATACCATTTATGGGCATCAAGATGAACTGTGCTTTGGGTCTAAGGTTGCCCAGACTTCTATACGAGAAGTACAAAACATGCACACAGATTTGGATCCCTACCAAATTCATGGCAGTGTTTTCCCTCCCGAGGACAGGAAGGCAAGAAAATGGGACTTGGGAGAGATCTAATCAGGACTGTTACATCATCAGTAATATTTAATTTCTTTAAAATTTTTGAAACAGATGTGACTCGTTCACCTTCGTTCTCTGTGATGAGTGGTGGGGTGGGTGTTTTATCAGACTCTGTACTATTCTCCCCCCCCTCCAATATTTTTGGAAAAGTCCCTGTTACCAGAGTTTGTCATGAGACAAACTTCCCTCCTTCTTCATCAGATTGTACATTCTTGGCCAAGTTATATCTTCATTCCTGTCCGTATTCCAGGGGCCAGCACAGGGTCCACTGGATGGAAGGAATGACTGATGGAGGAGAAAACAGTAGACTTCAGGCTTTTCTGAAAAACTGCCATTTGGGGCTTTCTCCAGTTCCTAGTCCCTTCCTTGCCTGGCAAGCGTCTTCTCTTCCCCAGGTGAATTTAAGAAAACACCGGGACAATGGGCAAGTATGGTAAGGAGCCAATGCTGGTACCATACTCCAGCCTCATACACAGGGCAAACACCTCCAGCACCCCACGGATGGAGAGATGTTTCATGGAACACCAGGCGGTGGGTGACGGCTTACCCCAGTTGATGCATTGCTACCCTGGGGCTGAAACACCATCCATAAAATTGCTGCATTCAAAGCATAACTCCTAGAAATAGCATGACAACATTGCATAGCAGAATTTTTTTTTTTTTTAAGGAATGGAATTCAGGGTGGTCACTGGAAGGAGCTCTGCATGTCTTGACAATTATCCTTCTCAAATCCCTTTTCCTGTATAAATTATATCTCAATTGCCCTAAAATTGAGTTATGTTTTCACCAAAATTATACATTTGTGAATATTCCAGCTCTAGGGCACTTGTTATGGGAAGGAAGCATTCATTAGCCCAGCCCTTGTCACTGGGCTGACAGCAATCCTACCTCCATAAGAGGTTCCATGCCTCATACTGATTCATCGGAGTTCCTTCCTGTTATTTAGACAATTATTTAAAATGCTGAAAGTGGCAGCGCAGAAAGAGGGAATGAGGAGAGGGGAAGGGAAAATTGCAAAGGACCACAATTTCCTAATTCAACGGTTCATTTTTCAGATGTATACCGATTTTAAAGAGGCATAATCCTTCTACACCATCACATACACACACACACACACACACACACACACACACACACACACACACACA